ATCGAAGTGTTGAAGAATAGTAAAGAACAAAATGGGCAAGAAAGGAGTGGCCAGCCAGCTACCCTTCAGCACATGCAACTCACATTCGCAGATATATGATTTGTTCAACTTTAATTTAGAGGAAAGTAAATGAAGTGTGGATCTATTCAAACAGAAGTGGGTGATTATAATTGTGGGTAATTAATGATGTTTTGTGCATGTGGGGGGTTTTTTTGGGGGGGGGGGGGGAGTATCTTTCTCACAGCATTTTACAATGGGCATCTGAGATTCTCACTGTACTCATCTTGTTGTACGGCCCTGCAATCTGTGTCTCTCGATCTAATCGAAATGGAAACATGACTCATAACTTCCCCACCCATTAATAGTCTCTATAGCTGTGCGTTGTGTCATTCCCACACAAAATTCAAATACTTTTTTTGGGCAACTTTTAATGTATAGTAACAGTTCTTTCATTTGATCATTTATTTGATGCTCACTCTCTGTTTTTTTTTTTTGCCCACAATCTTCAACAATATATTTTATACATACGTTACGTGGTTAGTCCTATGCATGAGAATAATAAATGGAAATATTATCTTGTCATTCATGTATAGAAAGTCTTATATTATATTTATATGTTGGCAAAAAATATATTATATGCATATATCCCAATTATATGAAAATAACACTTTAAACGCTAATGGATATATAAGCATTTTAAGGTCATGACTTTAAAGAAAAAAATATGATTTAATAAAGTATAAAGTACGTTTTATGCAAATAAATCATTTCTCCAAAAGTATATAATATGGACCATTATAAGTAAAAACGCTTTAAAATATTTTGTTCCATAGTTGTAATTAACTATTACATATATGAGATAACATTGAAGCTTAGCATAGTCATAGTTAACTTCTCTAAAATTTATTATCATCGAAACTTACATTAATTACACATATTGTCATATACCATTATGTTCAACAATATTATTGTTTTGTGAAGTTGATGTAGAGTGACCAGATGTAGTAATGGGAACCCTTCAGTTGTTTGGGAAAGCCTATGGTAAGAAAGTAAATGTGCAAAAGACGGAGGAATTGCTTCAAAAGTGTGGTTTTCATCAGGCCTCATATTTGGGTTGTTACTTGGATTCGCATAGATATATAAGGAAGGAGAAATAGAGGAAAGTTTTAGTTCCTACTTGATAAAGTGTAAAAGAGTTTAAGTAGATGGACAACCAAATATTTGTTGCTTGCGGGACGGTTAACGTGTGGTGCAAGCTGTTACTTAGCAGAACCCATACAACCTGATGATGTATTAGTGGTGGTTTATAAAGAGATTGAGAGGATGCAACATATATATTTTTTTTTAATGGCTCCTTTAAAGAGAGAAGGTTCCAGCAATTGGTTGGAACATGTTGTATAAACCAAAAAATGTGAGGTTTGGTTTGAAAAACTTAAAATTGATCAATGGTGCTGCTTAATTAGCAAGGTTCGACGGCAGGTAGCGGCAAGGTCTTAGAATTTGTGCTCTAGAATTCTTAGAGCAAACTATGAAAGAGGGGTTAATATGTGTATGCAATAAGATGGGTGATTCACTCTTTTTGAAGAAATGAGGAGAGGTTGTCCTACTTTGTCAAGAAATATGGGTTGAAAGGTGAATAATAGAGACAATGTGAGATTTTGGAAGGATGTTTGGGTGCATTAGGGGTGAGACTAATTAACAGTTGCAAGACGCTTCTGTGTAATAGGGAGAAAGGAGTGAGTATGAAGGAGTTCATATCAGCAGAGGGAGGACAGTGTTGTAGTAGCCAAAGGAGGTGTTGTGCCCATAAATGGCTGATACTATGATAGCTTATTTTCCTTCAAGGGATGAGGATGATGATGATACAATGAAATGGATAAGTAGGAAGAAGGAGTAATGTAACTTATTTATGTTTGATATGTATAGGGAACTGAAGAGCGATGTTAAGAGGTCCCACTATACAACTCAACCAAGGATATAAAAGAGGAGGGGTCTAAGGAGAATTCAAGTAATTTTGTGGATAGTGATGGGGGACAGTCTTCTTGTGATAATGAAGAGGAAAAGTGATGTGACCCCAATAGGAAAAGATCCCATGAACCCATAATTAATCTGAAATACACCCCAAAAAAGCTAAACAAAAGTCTAATGATATACTTGAACCTTTGCGCACTGAAAAACAATGACCCAAAGTGTCGGAAGATACCACAAATTGATTAAGCCTTGATAAGTTTGTTAGTTCAATGAAAAATCCTAAAGAAATCTACTCTCAATTCTGAAAGTGCAAAAATGCAGCTTGTCATTTCTCAAAATCAAGTCTTTTCACAAAATGAAGGATACAATGTATTTAAAGCATACATTCAAAATCTGACCTAAAAAGCATTCAATACAACCTAGAGGCTTAGAATATTAAATACTAACTTAAAGAAAATTAGAAAGACTTAATACAATAAACTTGGAAACTCAAAAGCCAAATCTGCTAACTATTTTCTAATTTTTGCACAAATATGTTTCATAAAATAGAATCTTTATATTAAGCCCAAAATGTGATAAATTTCTTTCTTTTTTTTTTTTTTGGGATCTTGTGAGACAATTAGTTGCTATCTCCATCATGTGTGAGAGCCATCATTAAAGTAGGAGATAAATTTGTTTTATAACCTAATAGGATAACCATCCCTCCTAAAATCCATGAGAATGATAGGTTCTACCCTATTTTTAAGGATTGTGTTGGTGCCAAAGATGGAAACACATATATGTGTGAAAGTATCTACTAAAGATGCACTTCAACATCATGGGAGAAAAGAACTCCCAACTCAAAATGTTAGCAGCTTGTTCATTTGATTTAAAACTTACTTATGTACTCACTAGATGCACTACAAAAGAAATGCATTATTGCAGCTGTTTATTTGTAGCGGTTATCAAAACTGCTAAAAAATAGCAACTTCATCGGTTTGGTGAGGAAACATTTTGTGTTGCATTTTTTAGCAGTTATGCAAGCAAATAACCTCTACAAATGTGGCGTTAAGGTGGCGCCATTTGGCGCAAACTTGGCACCACATTTTTAGCGGTATCTAACCACTACTAACTTGGCATAAAATTTGCAGCAGTTATTTTGTAGCAGTTTCTTCAACAAAAAACGAGGCAGGAACTGAATCGTTTATGACATTTGTAGTAGTTATTAGTAAACTGCTATAGAAGTTGCAGATTCCATATAATTTTGTCACACTTATGTGAAACCGCTACCAAGTGTGCCATATTGTAGTAGTTTTATGGTAAACTGCTACAAAGTGTTCTGTTAATCAAAGCAAAAATGACACGTGTCCAAAGGTTGCAGCGGTTAGCTGACAACCGCTACAAAGTTGAGTGCTTTTCTCTAAATTTGTAGCTGTTTTGTTGAAACCGCTACAAATCTCGACGTCTAAATATATGCCACTGTCTCATTTTTTTACTTTTGCCTCATTTGAGTAGCAAGGTTCTGCCAGTTTTTTTCCAGAATTTCATTGTATCTATAGATCCAGCTCTAAATCCACTTCTAACTACTCAGGTGCAAATGTAAGTTCATGTATTAGTTAATTTTTTAATAGTTAGTGTATTTAAAAATTTAATTATTGTTGTATTAATTTAAAATTTAATTTGGTTTGTTGATTTAATTGGCATTGACATTATTTGAGTTGATGATTGTATATGTTATCGTTTTTAATTTTTGTAGTTTGCATGTTATTTGTAAATTGTTTAAATATAAAATTTGTTTATTTAGTAATTACTTTAATTAGACATTATGAGTAATAATATTTTAGTTACATTTGTTGGTATTTTATTTAATATCTGATAAGTTGAATTTGGTTTCTATTTTTCAAAATTTGACTTATGATTTGAAATATAATTATAAAATGTTTAAAATTTATTAAATTCATATTTAAATAATTTTTTATTTAGAATTTTGTTTAATTAATTATTTTTTATTTAAATTGTGTAATTAATTAGTTGTGATGATGATATAGGTTAATATTTTTAATTTTTGTAGTTTGCGTGTTATTTGTAAATCGTTTGATAATAAAATTTATTTATTTAGTAATAAATTTAATTAGACATTATCAGTAATATTATTTTAATTATATTTTTTAGTGTTTTATTTAATATCAGAGAAGTTGAATTCGGTTTTTATTTTTAATTTTTTATTTATGATTTGAAATGGAATTATAAATGTTTAGAATTTATTAAATTCATATTTAAATAATTTTTAATTTGATATTTTTTTAATTAATTATTTATGATTTAAATTGTTTAATTAATTAGTTGTTATGATCATATATGTTAATGTTTTTAGTTTTTTTTAGTTTGCATGTTTTGTTTAATTGTTTAATAACCAAATTTGTTCACTTAGTAATTAATTTAATTAGACATTAAGAGTGCTGTTATTTTAATTAGATTTTTTAGTATTTTATTTAATATCAGAAAAGTTGAATTAGCTTTTTATTTTTTTTTCACTTTTTGCTTATAGTTTGAAATGTAATTATAAAATCCATAGAATTTATTAAATTCATATTTAACCAATTTTTAAATTTTTAAATTTGTTTAAATAACCATTTGTGGTTTAAATAGTATGGCTTATCGACACAGTAAAAACCTTGTTGATCCTACAAGGCCCCCTGGCATCCTGACCGGCTTGGGCCATCTGAGGAGCCAGTAGAGGAGGATAAGGGGCCGATGATCAGCATGGAAAATTATGTGATCGATGATCATTTTGATCTGAACCTTGATGGGGGTGAGAGTAGAATGGAAGATGATAAGGAGGCCGATCCACAAAGGGAAGAGGATGAGGAGCAGCAGCAACAGCAAAATCAGCCACGTCACCTAGTGGACGGTTGGGCAGATGGGAGGTGGAGGTTGTGGGTAAATAAAATTTTTATTTATATGAAGTGACAAATATGTTATTTAATATTTATAATAATAATTAAATTTTTATTGATATTATTTGATTATCAATTAAACTGTGCTAACCAAGCTAGTCCATGAGGAAGTTGAACATGAAGGGCATGCAGTACGTGTAGGATATACGTGTGATAGTCCCTTTAAATAACCACGGTCAACCGATTGAGCTGGGGAGGACATCTATTCAACTAGTATCTGGCTTATGTAGGTAGGAAATACAGATTCTTTCCCATTTATGAGCCAAACTCGAGGAAGGTGTCAACAAAGAACGAGATTAACGCCTAAGAGCTGCTGAAGGTAACTAATCAGTAATTGAAATTCATAACTAAATATTTGATTTAAATAATTATGAGTTACATTGTGAATTTGATTAATTTTTTATTTAAAAATGCAGAAAATTTTTGTTGTTAGGGAAGACATGAAGACGTATGCACTGAAAATGTTAGAGAGGGTTGGAAGAATAGGAGGGGTCGCCTATACAGTGCAAGGAAAGGCGACGAGATGAGACCCCTAGAGGAGTTGTAGGCAGTCGTGCCAAATTGCGTCCTTGCCAATGACTGGGCATCTTTTGTCCAGTTTAGGGTGACATCTGAGCAGAGAGTATGAGTTTATTGCATTATGGTTATGTTATTTTAGTACAAGTTAACTAATCTTGTTTTAATTATGTTTCAACATCTTTCTCATAGAAATGCCATGAGTCACAGCCAACAGGATATCCAACATATGGCAAGTTCAAAGACATTCGATGTCACGTATAATGAGATTGTGAGTAATACTACAAATTTAATCAAGTTATGTGTGTGTGTGTATGAATTTATATAATAACAATGCTTTTTTTTTTTATTATCAATTTGCAAGAGAGGAAGACGCAACAGGATAAGGGATGAACACCCACCTATAGCGAGATGTGGCCCCAACTCCATAAGCATAGGGACAACACTCTTATAACTGAGCAGGCTGAGGAAGTTGCTGTTAGTATTTAATTACAATTTTTTATTTTGGGTTTAGATATTTAATTTAATTTAATGTTTAAATTTTATTGTTAATTTAATTTGATTTAATGTATAATTTCATCAATTTTTTTTTCCAGGAGCAGATAGCTCAGAGTGCTATAGAGCTCTGAGAGTTTCAGGGGTTAGTTGTGGATCCTACCATCTCACTCAGGGTAGGTCTAGGCTAACCTGAACACTAGGGATAGGTTAGAGGGGTTGGTTTTGGCACCACACCGAGTACCATCTATGGCCGAGGTCGCCATGAGACTTCCAAGGTAGGGACCTCCCAGTCAGCCACAACATCACACCAAACTCTTTTTGCCATGAGGCGTTCAAGTGAGGCATCAGTGGAGGAGCTTCATATAGAGATATGGATTGTAGAGGCCTGATTTCAGGCTCGTGAGGCTAAGATATAGGCCACATATGAGCAGTGGATAGAAGCAACCAATCCAATGATGGAGATTGTGTGGTAAAAGGAAAATCCTAGCACTCCTGCTCTAGTGCTCCCAGATATAGCCAAGGATGATGAGGATGATGACATTCCATAGTAGCCATCTCAATAGCCACAACCCCAGCCCCAGCCCCAACACCAACAGCCTCGTCAGGATAAAGATGATGATTTTGTCGAGTCTTTACGAAGGACCAACAATTGAGGACTCTTATTATTTTTATGAACATTGAAACATTAATTTATTTTTGGATTATTGTATTTTAGTTGAATTTTTTCACACCTCACTTTCACATCACATTTTATCTCAATTGGAACCATTTGGAATCATTTCTCATGGCCTTAAGTTAGAAAACGTTGAACTTTAAAATTTCTCAAATTCGGATTACTATTCATTATAACCCTAACAAAGACTAAACTTTGAAAAATCATAACTAATTTCAAAAAAATTGAAATGAGGTGATTCCAAGTTCTACTTGAAGCCTTGATGTGATCTTTAGAGAAAAAAATACTCATTGGCACCCAGAACTCACCAATTAATCTTAGAATTCACATGAATTGGTATTGTTCAAATGATCATTTTTCAGATTTTTCAGAATTTATGCCCAAATTTAGAAGGACATAACTTCTTGCACAAAACTCCAAATTTCATGAAATACAACTTGTCTTAAAGATAAAAATATAATCTATAAGCCTGCCAAATTTCAACCAAATTCTCATCCATTTGCATAGAATTTTGTATGGTCAAATTTACCCTTAAAAAGTCAACTTTTATTCCCTTTTTATGCAATTCTTGGTAATTTTTCCCTTTTCAATCTATATAAAAATTCCAATCACATAACTCATACTAAAACATGATTCCTTGGCCAAATATTCACATGCATATTACTTTGATCATTAATACAATATTCCAACATAATTTACAATGATACATAACAATTTGTAAAAATTACAAAACATAACTTCAAGGGGCATTAAACTCAATCATTTTTCAAGACGATTTTCCTTCCTTTCTCTTTGCTTGATCCAACCCCTAGTTGGTGAATATTTGAACATAAAGGAATGAGATTTCTTATGAAATCCGATTTCTTATGAAATCTCAATGGTAATGAATCACAATTATCATGCTAATCATGCTATGTAAAAATATGCTATGTTATCATGAACATAACATCATCATGCAACATATCATGGGTATAATATTTTCCATGAAAATAGAGCAACCATCAAGCCATTATACCACTTCTCATAACATATTGCCAAGGCATATTCATCCTAGCATTCTATACATAATCACATAATTTGCTCAATCACATCATGGCAATATAATCAAGTAACACAAACACATTTAAACAAGAAAGAAAACAATCAAATTTGAGTTCAAAGCTACCTCTTTCACAATTACATTTTGGCCTCTTTCAAGATTTTGTGCTCCTCTTTGTTTTTTTGCATAATGCCTATCAATCCAAGTATAAATACATTCCAAATTACCAATAATTCAAGCCATAACACCTGCTCAACATTAAACTCAATTAAATCCCCCTTTCCTTAAATTTTGACACAATTATTTCTTCTTTGTTTCCATCAATCTCTTGGGCCATTCCTTTACAATTTTTCATGTAGAATCCAAATATCAAATTAGATTTAACAAAATCACACACCTTCCCCTTCAATTTGATTTGGCCAAATAGGGTGAATCTAGGTTCCAAAATTTTCATTTTTGATCCCAATTATTTTAAATACTTTTTCTTGGTATTTTTCTACACAAAAACACATTCTAAACTCATTAGAATCATTAAATTAAGCTGAAATAATTTCTAATCTCATGAACTATGCTTGGCTGAAATGTCACAAAATTAGGGAACTTGGAATTTCTTCCAAAAATCAATCCAAATATCAATCAAACAAGCTATTCCAAGCTTTAAATCATGGTTTCTATCCTTCCCTAATCATTCTTTATCAATTCAAAAATCTGGATAGCAAGATACCATTGGAATTTTGCCACTAAACTCTACTTGAAACAAGCTAGAATCATAGTCAAATTAAAGCTTGAACATACCTTGATTAATCCTTGATTCTTGCTTGATAATTTTTTTCCAATCTTGGTGTGAAAAGGGCTCTACAACTTCAATTTTTCTGTAGCAAAATCTCCCTCCTTCAACTGCTCAAAAAACCAAAAATTGAAGGTGTAAGAGGGGGTATTTATAGACCTCAACTTGGCCTCCTCTTCCTTCCAAGTGTCCCTTAAAAATCTGAAGATTTTGGGACATGTGGACACCTTAAGAGGCTGCAGAAATATGAGAGTGTACAAGTGTCTCTAAAGAGATAATGTTTTGGATAAAATCATGTGATATTTTGCATCATTTATTCCATAACCATGTGCACCACTTAGGCCATAAAATTACTGTTTATTCTTGGCCCAAAATCAAGTCCAATAGGTTGGAAAGAAGAAGGAAGTATCATCATTCATTTCCAAACATTTTTCCACCCGATCTCGTCATATCAGCTAATTTTTTTTCTAATTTTTAAAAATATTTTTGGACATCCAAAAATTAATTTATTCACATCAAAAATCATATTTTAATATAGAAAGGTCTCCTAAATTTTTTGAGAATTTATCTCCACCTTTAGCTATTTATTTTGAATTTTCTCCGAAATCAGGCTTTACTGATAAGATTTCAGAAATAAATATTCTAAAATTAATTATTTCATTTTTAGGGGCCTCAAAATAATTTTATAAACTCAAATAAATCCTTAAATAATTTTTTCATATTTTTTCAAAATTATTGAGGCCTTTACATATTTAAAATAATTATTTCTGGCCAATTTTCTTATTGTTTTTTCAAAAAATCTCTGTTTAGAAAAAATTCTGTAATAATTTATTTTTTATGTCATTTTCACCTCTAGGGCCTCAAATAGAATTCCAAACCTTTAATTTACCTTTTTACTATTTTTAAAGAATTTTTTTCCATTGTGTATTTCCTGGACTGATAATTTCAAAAATATCATTTAGGACAACAGTCAGATCTCAACTCAAAAGTTGTTTCACCTCCGAGTCTACTTTACCACTTGACTCTCTGTCTACTTTATTACTCACATTCTCAGGGTCAAATTTGACAAAATATGACAAATTTTATAATTGAATTTTAAATTTTATGAATTTTTAACTTGTTATTTTCCAAGTAATCGTATTTATTTAGCTGTTTAGCAATGTGATTTACAGAATTTTGAGCATGTTCTTTACTAAGACTAAAGAGTTAATGTAATTTTGGTCTCTCAAGTTTGCTCTCATTTTGGTTTTAGTCCTTTAAGTTTCAAATCATGATCCTATTTGACCGCTATACATTGCTAACATCAGGAAATGGATCAACCGCTACAAACATCATGATAAAAGGGAAAATAAAGCTTTAAAATTCAAACATTGTAGCGGTTATTTAAATGCTACCGACATCGCTTCAAACTTTGTAGCAATTTTATGGTCGCTACAAATTTCAGCTGATAAGGGAAATTCAAATCAAATTTGAAAGTTCAGTCAAGTGTTAGTAACGGCTTAAAAACCACTACAAACATCGCTTCAAACTTTGTAGCAGTTTAAGAATCGCTACAAAATTTTGACCGTTGGTATTAGCAACAGTTTTTTTTTTAAATTTTGTAATGGTTTTATAGCCACTACAAAAATTCAACCATTGCCTCATTCCCTTTTAACTAGCTTAGATGTCTAAAACTTCATTTCCATTTTGAATTGAGCTTTTCTATGAAATCTTTCGATACACTTACTAGCATAAATGGTGGATAAGACATGGATCAGGTTACCCCGTGCCTAAACTTTATAGTGGTTTAGGAACTGTTACAAAATTTCGATCGTTGGTATCAACATCAATTTTTTTTTTTAATTTTGTAATGGTTTTATAACCGCTATAGAAATTTGACCATTACCTCTTTCCCTTTTAACTAGCTTAGATGTCTGAAACTTCATTTCCACTTTGATTTGAGCTTTTCTATGAAATCTTTTGGTACTCTTGCTAGCATAAATGATAGATAAGACATGGATCAAGTTGCCCAGTACGTCTCAATGATATTTGGCAGGATTAAACTCCTTAGAATTTGCTTCTGCTAATACAACTACTAACAGTAAGCTTCTTTGTCCATGTCCTAAATGCAATTTCAACAAGTGGCACCCATGAGATGTTGTTAGAGACCATTTAAGCCTTTCCCACGAAATTATACATTTTGGTCTTTTCATGGTGAACAACACAATATGATTGCTTAGTCAACTCCTGCAATTTCCTAAATGGGAGTTGAAATAGAGAAGTATGATCTTATCAATGATGCTGTGCATGATGCATTTGGGATTCACGAACACATATCTACTAAAGAAGTACAGGGACTTGAACTGGAGTTCTTAAGGAGTAAAGCTGCTCAAAGTTTTTTTAACCTCATGAATGAAGCTGATAAGCTTTGTGTCATGGGTGTACAAAGTGTTCAAAGTTATCATTCTTGTTAAAGGTATATCATATAAAATGCTTGTATTGTATCACAGACAAAGGAATGTCAATGCTTGTGGAATTATTAATAGATGCATTCCCTCATATGGAATTCCCACTATCCTTTTATGAAGCAAAGAAGATGACTGATGAGGTTGGATTGAACTACACAAAAATTTGTGTGTGCCCAAATGATTGTATGCTATACTATGGAGAGGATGTAAGCAAGGAGATTTTTAAAAAGTGCAAGACATCTAGGTACAAGCCCACATGGAAGGGAAAAAGGCAGAAGAAGAAACCCGCACAGATTCTAAGGTATTATTTGCTTTAATGTTATCTTTTTATGATTATTTCATCAATAAACTAATATATTTTTCAAATTTTAATTCTTACGTACTTTCCTTTGAAGTCGTGATTGCAGAGAATGTATATGTCATCAAAAATGGCTGAGCATATGAGGTGGCATGATATTTACAAAAATCCAGACGACAAGTTAAGACACCCAAAAGATTTTGAGGCATGGAAAGCATTCAACTCAGAGTTTCCAAATATTGCCGCTGATCCTCGAAATGTCCAACTTGCATGGGCTATTAATGGTTTTAATCCCTTTGGTAACATGAGCACCAATTACAGTACATGGCCTGTGGTGTTAATTTCGCACAATCTACTGCCTTAGATGTGCATGAAACCAAGCTCCTTTTTGCTTTCCATGATCATTCGTGGGAAGAAAGTACCTGCAAATGATATAGATGT